GAGGAAAGAGAGGAAAATTTTTGGGGTACAACAACGTGATATCTCTAAGGTCTTAATTTCTTCTGATTCAAGTAAATCAAAAGACAACCAAAGTAACTTTAACCAAAGTAATTTAAAAACTCTTTACATAGATGTTCTTTCAAGACATTATTAACTTTATGATAATCCAATAAAATTGATGCACCACACACCTAAGCTTATACACTAAATCTCTATAAGCAAAATCTAACCTATATGACATACAAATAATGTAATAATGCGCTACCACAATAATGATATTAATGAATGCTAGAAAATTAAAAGAGATAAGGGAAGAAGAAAAGATATACAGACATATATAGTGGTTCGGCATGCGTCCTCGTTTTTCCTACTGCAATCATCAATGGTGTTAAAAAACACTGGAAAATAATCACGGTCTTCCATTATTTTGATAAGTTTGATACAAACTTTTTTATTACAATGAACTATCACACGATAATTTCCTCTATTGATCTAGACACTTAAACTGCTAACAAAAACAAGATCTCTAAATATATTGATCCAATAACCTTTTATGTCCTTAATAACCTGCTCCAAGTATCGTGTGTGGTGATCTACCTGATCCCACCGGTTTCTTGTCAGAGTAATTGCCAATACCTAAACATTTATTGGGTAACTCCCAACTTTATATGTGAGCAATCTTTCTCCAACTCCATCAAAGATGGATAACTTCCAACTCCGCCTTACAAACAATTGATACTTAATCTTGCCAAAATATTCCATGGAGTATACTGAAACACTCTCATTCATAGATAATAATAAAGATCAAACAACATTAAAGAAATTATACTTGCACCTATTACAAATATCAAACTTCATACAAAAACATTAGATATCCTAATGTACCATTAGTCTCCCTCAACACTCAATCTTTAGAGATGAAGGTCCACAACAATGGAAAATGACTGCTAGGAAATCTCACAAACACTAATTTACAAGGTGTTAGTCAAGGGATTAGATGTATGTGAAATTCTCTCTAATTTATGGATGAGTGGGTCTTGGTTTTTTTATTGATATCATGATCTTGATTAATCATAAAAAACACTACAAGATTATTCAACACACCCTCTCTAATTCATTCAAACAACAACAAATTACACGAGAACAAGATGCGACAAAAAGAAGTGAATCTGGCATGAATTAAAACTTAAGAAGTTGTTCTATATAAGAAAAGAAATATTAAAGGTTCTAGGAATAAGCACACTAAAGAAGAGAAGAAAAATTGACACTTTGTCTCAAAATGGGTTTCACCAACTTGGTTTCACAATCTTGTCTTGGATCAAAGAAACAATTATTTAAACCTAAGATGGAAAATTGGATTTGTGAAGCCATGATTCGAGTTAAGAATAAATAATGATTAAAATCATAAGATATTATGATTTAAGTCAAGTTAAGTTCCTGATTCAAGTCACTTTGAGAAAATTCCAAATTTAGCTTCATGAAGACATTTGATTCGAGTCATGGTTATCACTTGATTAAAGTTAAAAGAGTTTGTTATCTGAGTCAGGGTTATTTTGTGATTTGAATCAAAGAATCCAAAATAAAATCCCAATTTTCACATGGTTCATGATTCAAATCACGCTTAATACATGATTCGAATGAAGTCACTCAATATTTTAATATAAGAGTTCCAACTTGTGATTCAAGCCACATTTAATGAAACGACTAAAGAGAAAAAATTTAGGCTAAAAAATAATATTATCAAGGATCAAACAGTCTTATTTTATTGAGTAATGAGGGGTCTCAATGGTTAATACCACAATAGCTGACGTGATTACAATACAACTCAAATGTGAATAAAGTACAAACACACCAATATTAAATGATAAGCAAATTACAAATACACAAACAAACTATAACATATACACTCAAATTAGCAAAAATATCAAAACAAGTAAACGATACCATAAGATAACATGACTATACTTTCAAGTTGTTCTTAAAATATAACTTAGTTTTTAGATGATTATTTTCTAATTCAACTTGAAACATTGTATGTTCAGTGAAGGGTTGGTAAAACACTCAATGCACATACGATATAATAAACTCAATTGTATCTCGTATCACTTAATTGTGCTCTCTAGACATATTGGATGGAATGAAATAAAAGACGTTGCATAAGGAATAACATTCTTAACAAGAACACAGGGAAACAAAAACAACAACAATAACATAATATTTTATCTATATCAACAAAAACGACAACATAACTAACAAAAACTGTAACATTTATATAAACTTTTTACTTGTCTCGACAAAAACAACAACATAAAACTTTTAGTCTCATCTTAACAATAACAATAATAAATGTAAACTTTTTACTAACTTAACAAAAATAATAAAATAATTCAAAATAAAAATATTCAACATATATGATTTAGTGTTTCAACAACAAATCTCAAAAGAGATATTTTTAACAACAACAACATAACTCATAAAATGAATGGTGAAAAATGTTTCACGTACGTATAAGAAATGTGAAGAGGAAGACAAAGAAGGAGTTGCAAGTTTCTATCTTGCAAAGATTCACGACACATTTCCTTGATCCATATTAGTTGGAGAAATTATGTTAGAGTTTTGTCAAGATATGTTGGAGTTTTGTGAGATTGAGATAAGGCGAGAGAAGTTTGGGTTTCACATATGGAGTGCAGCCTGTTCTTGAGTGAATTAAGTTAGCTTATATATATAACACATTTCACAATAGTTGATAAAAAATTATGGTGAAATATCTCTGAAATTTATCCACTGTTGTTAATATGTGTTAGTGAAAAGTAGTTTAATTATTATTTAAAAAATGAAATAAAGGAAACACACTCTTTTTGTAACGAAAAAACATATTATTGTTGGTGTTGGAATTCAAAGTGTGTCACTCTTTTACATTATATCAATGTTGTTAATTTGGACAGTGAGGAAAAGTGATTTAAAAAAAAAGGGCTTAACGAATAAACATTACTTTAGTGAGATAAATGACTATAGTAAAAAACTGTTATGAAATATGTAATTTGTAGTGGTTGTTTGCACCAGTATCAAGGTCTATGATATTTTTTTGCTTGCTTCATTATTTCCATGTGATAGATACATTGTTTCAAACTTCTCGTCATTTCCTCTCACATAGTTAGTCTTCCCCTCGACTTTATTCTTGAAACATCTACAAGCGTAATGGTGAAACTTTTGACAATGGTAGTATTGACTTTGAGATTTATGTATCTTCTTCCACGTTCCCTTTTTGAGGTTTATGCTCTCTCGTAAATGCCGATAGTGAAATTTGAACCTCTTCCAAAGTTGTCATGTCCAAAATATCCTTAATCACGGCCTTATCCTCAACCTCTAGATTGACTCTATTGGCATTTCTCATAGTCTCTAAATATTTTGTTTTCTCGTTTTTCACAACAATATACTCAAATATGGAGTCTAATGATTGGAATATCTTCTCTATAATTCTCACACATCTTTTAACTTTTCACCATTTCTTTTTAATTAATTTGAAATAGCGATACACTTGAGAAATATTCAGAAATATCTCAGACTCTTTTATATGCAAGGATTCAAACTTACCTCTTAGAGTTTGGAGATACCCACATCTACCTTTGTCTTCTCTCACGCCTCCTTAGTAGATGTTGCATTTGATATTTTGTCAAACTCATCTTTATCCAATGTACGGTAGAGAGAAAAAGAGCTTTCTTGTCTTTCTTTCTTGAATCCTTCGAAACATCCTTTTATATTTGAATTAAAGAAGTTTCATTCTATAATTCCTTATAATAGTTTTCAACAACCTCCTAAATAATGTGTGTTTTAGGAAGAGCCTTCATTTTGATACACTAACTATCATAAATACTTTCATATAGCGAGTTTCTATCAAAATCTAAACTATGATGTCACTTGGTTGAAAAAGGAAAATGTTATATTGAGATTTTGTGAGAAATTGAAAAGAGAGACTATTTAATAGAATGATAATTTTTATTTCTTGAGAGAATAATTTATAAATTTGTTTACTTGTTTCATTAGAGATGTTCATGGTTCATAAAAAAGCATAGAACCAAACCACGTAAATGGTTCAGCTCGGTTTATAATAACTATTTTAATAAAAATTCAGTGAATTGTTAAAATGATTTTAATTGAATTTAAAACTAATTTAGAACCCATTTATAATTATAAACTAATTTATAATCAGTTTACAATTTTAAATCAATTTTATATTTTAAACTCTTTTAAAATCAATTTTTTTTATTCCATACAAAAATTAATATTTTCATACTATTTATTTTCAAAAAAAAAATTATTTAATTTTTGAAATTTTTTTTATATTTTTGAAATTGTTTTAAAATTTTCAAAATATTTTTTTTTATTTTCAAAAAAATATTTTAAACTTTAGTAGCTGTACTGCAGTTTAACATACTTAATTTTTCTTTGTAAATTAGCTGCAATATCTTTTCGGTTTTGTTGTCTGGACATAAAGTCAAGTCACTCAGCTCTCACGTGTGTCTTTGCAAATTGCAGCCTCTTCTTACAATCGATTGTGCTATAATTAAGTTGCAGCCTCTTCATACAATCGGTTGAGTTATATTTTAGGAAAACAAAATTTTTTTTAATTCTCATTTTTTTTCCTAAAATTTTTATTTTGTTTTCAGGTAAAAAAAAAATTTTAAAAAATGTTTTTTATTTTATATTTTTTATTAAAAATTGAAAAAAAATTATTATTTTAAATTTTCAGAATTATTTTTATTCTCAATTGATTTTTTATTTTTTTCATGAAAAATTAATTTATATAATTAAACTAGTTTATAAAAGAAAACTGATTTTAAAATAGACTTTAAGGAGATTTCTACGTATACTTCTTTCCACTACATACATTTATTACTATTACTATGTTCCACATCTTGTGTTACACATTACTCTGCTTAATTTGCAGGTAATTTCTGCAACATTTAAGCAATGGTCTCTCAGTAGAATTTCCTATATCATCATATCCTGTATGAACAAACAGTACAGTTTAATTAGATAAAGACGTATGATATATTATAAAAAAAAAATGAATTAATAATAAAATACATAAACTTACTGAATATATTCAATATTGATATTTGCATTAAGGAAACGTGAGATTGCTGAAAAGGCTTCGGTTGACATGTGAAAAGTGTGGGGACATGAAGACTTTGTACAAGTAATAGAATCAACAACTTTAACATCAATACTACCTCCTTTGCATGGCTTATTGATTCCACTCACACATCTCACTCTATATCTTCTTCCACATGCTGCGCCGTTATCCCATAATCCTTCATTCACTGCCACAAATATGTTGCCTGGTGGAAACTGCTCTCTCCTACTTCCATCACAAGAAGTAGCTGCACAATATCAACCAACAAGTACGTAAAATTATTATCATGCAAACCAAATGTAACACACAAAATAAGCGAGTTCAGGTGTAAGCTGTACAAAGATATTCGACTGCAAGAACGCGAGTTTGAACCAGTGACTAATAAAAAAAAGTAAATAGCTGACTCACGTATATATGGAGGTCCATAAGAAGCAGCAGTACCAACATCTGCAAGAATTAGAGTTGCTTGTTTGAGTAATAGGCTTGAAATTATTACAAGGGTAAATAGTTTCATCATTATTGTTTTTTCAGACCGAGATATTGTACTACCTAGTATGTTTTTGCTTGATGCTGCATGCGCACTCTCAATTTATAAGCATCGTCATCAAGATTAATTTTCATGTTTATCACGACTCTAAATGTTTTGTTTAAGTTAATCGTTGCTTTTAAAAAGTTGTAGATGAGGTTTGAGAGATTAAATAAATAGACAAAAGATCTTAATGGAATATGAGAAAGCAAGAACCTATCCGTTCGTGCGTGATCTAGTTCCATTAACGGCGGCTATTAGTGTAGTGGTATTCTTTTTTAAACAATTCAAATATTCAATGTATTCTCAAGTTTCCAATCAAGGATTTCATCTCGTGGCGATTTATGCATCATTAGTTTCATTTTTGACATGTGTGTATAATCAAGGATTAATATATTTGTATAGGAAAATTCTTAGATAGACACCACAACCATAAGAAATAGATTTGCACACAATCGATCATAAAACTTTAATTTAATTAAAATATATATATAATATTTTCTCTCTCCTTCGTAATCACAACCACCCCATAAATCCAATTAAAAAAGAAATTTAAATAAATTTAAAATTTTCTCTATTCTTATTAATTATTTTTAAGTATATTAATATATGATATATATATATATATAAGAATTCCTCATTTACATAACTACCAATTGAATTAATCTCTCAATTGAATTAACTTAACAAGATTGTGGCTAATAATGTTTTAAGTACCTGATTAGTTCTGCGTTTCGGGGCCATAAACGTGAGTCTAGAGAGTTTAACATGATTTCTTAAACACTTTTGATGTTTGGATAATTGTAAACGTGATTCGGCCGAAATTGGATCTAGCTCTAAACTCACGTTTTTTCAAAGCCACAAAATGTAGCTTCTGCGTCAACTAAAAACAATTTTGGTATTTTAATTTCAATGACAAATATATTTTTAATTATCCATGCATCTTTTTTTCTTTTTCCTACAAAATTGTCAATCAATTTCTTTCATGAGAATTTATTTTTCCATCCTATAGTGTAAAGAAATATCCTATGTATTTTCTAAAACGTCTATTAGAAATCGGAAATATATTTTTGATGCGCACCTTTTTTTGTTAAACTTTGACTAGAAACCAAAAATATATTTTTCCGGTTTCTGTGCAGACAGTACCAGAAACACTTATGCTATCAGTGAGTTTTTTTTGTGTTGTTTCGCATTGAATACAAAGACGTATACAACAAAACATACTACAACATATAGAATAAAGACATGTATAAATAGATAGCAAGTAAACAGGACAAGAGGTGCTCGTAATCAATATAGGGGGTAACCCAAAATATTATCCATACAATAAAAAAAAAAGATAACCAAAATACATATAGAATAACAAAGACTATTGGGTATGGCAGACTCTGACTCGGCCTGTCACCCTCCCGACGTTCCTCCGCTGCGTCCTGTAAAGAAGAGCCTCCCGAGCCTCCGCCATGATGGCATCCAAAACACCTCTAATATTAGATCCACCAGGAAACAAACCTCCACCAATACCCACATGTGCGATCTTTATGATACAATGGAACCTAGGCAACACATCAGTGGCATGATCGGCCCTAGCCTGCTCCTCCTCTAGAATCTCCTGATGAGTTGGCCTCAGTGGGTTTCCCAGAATATCATGTACTACGTATGGATGGAACACCCTGAAGAACCGTATGATATGACCGTCCACGTAGCTCCAGTCATTTGGAGCAAAGGTACTTCGGGCCTCTTCTGGAACAAGATAATTCTCATAATCATCAAACAAGGCATCCATATCCTTGCGTTTCACCATCGGAGGAGCAGATAAGTAGGATCCCGGGAAATATACTAGATGTATCAGAATTGATGCATGACGCGCTCAGCCATATAAGCATCCATCTTACGCGACCCGCAAGCTAACCATCCCCTAAACAACACAACATCGTAAAATGGTATCACGACACGGTGTTCGACGTATGAATGAAAGTGTATGTCCTCAAACATCATTCGGTTAATATACACCCGAAACGACTTTTTCGCCTATGAAGAATGGAAAAACACAAGAAACGGGGGTTTGAATTGGAGTTTTTAAAACATAAAGAAAAGAACACGTTGGTTATCCTAGTTCGTTTAAACTCAAACTACTCCAGTCCATCCGCCAAGGTGATTTCACCTCTCTCAACAAGGTCTTAATCCACTAATCAAACTTGATTACAAAGGTACTATGACAACCGTCAAAGTCTTCTTGAGTTTAAACCACAATCCGGTTTTCTCAAGGAATTCACTAAACAATATTGAATAAAAGTGTACAAAAAAGTTTTCTAATAAAACAGTATCACAAGTGATGTTTTACGCAATTTAGATTTTGAACGTTTGAAGATGATGAAGATTACTACTTTGCTGTGCGTGAAAATCGTGAACGATTTCTCCTTCAAACTTTTTTTAAATAGGCGAAGCATGTAGGAGATTTTGAAATGTTGTTCAATGATAATTAAAGAGCTTTCCAAAAATAGAGATCCTTGTTCCCTTTCATCTGTTACATTTGAATAATAATAATTGATTTGTAACGCTTCAGAACATGCTTGCTTCAGAAGCACAGAGTCCTGTTTGCAGCGTTAGAACTTCTTTAAGAGTTGTTTAGAATCAGAGTTGAAACAACTATTTAACTCATCTTCTGAGCTTCTTCCATCAAAACTTGTCTGCATAACAAAATACAAATTTAGGGAGCATAATTGCTCTTTGAGTATTTGTTATCATCAAAACTCTTACAAGGGTTGTAGAATCAAACTATGTTCTAATAGCCTGGTTCCCTCGGAGTGGGTCGTATGCAGTGGCATGTGGCTTATCTTAAATATAATCCATAGCAAGTGACCAACCCGAGATACGGAGGAAGTGTTGTAGGATCCAGCTCTGAAATAACAATAATTATTAATTAGTAACAGAATCACAATAATTTATAAAACGCCATAAAGACCAATAAATTTTACTGTCATGAGTGTGATGCTTCCGATCATCTGCTTCGTCTTCCACTCACATCCTTCAAACAACTTCATATACAAGTAGACCAAACAAGCATCCCTCCAGTTCCACTAGTGGATCTGCTCAAAATCATCATAGTACCCCAGGTACATCACATCTGTGTAAGTGGCACTAGTGTCCACAAAAATCTGTGTGTCAACCAGAAACAAAAGGTATGCTCATAGAAAACCTTCGGTGTAGGGTAACCTCCTCGGGGTCACCATTAGCCTCTCGTGCACGCCTTATCTTATCCGTGAACACCGTCTTCAAATAACTATATCTGACGTGGACACCACAAGTGAAGTCCATCTCCCCCATGGCACTCTCAGGGGTAACTCCCAATTTCTCTACCAACATATTCAAAGCCTCCTCTTTGCCAATCCTATCATGATCTAAAAATTCCCTCTAACCGGAAGATGCAGCAGAGACGCGACGTCGTCCAGTGTGATCGTCATATTACCATGTGGTAGATATAATGTCGATGTCTCATGGTGCCACCTCTCAACAAAAGTGTTAATCATAACCTAATTAATGACGTTATAACCACACTTGGTAAAATATTTCAACCCTGTAAGCAGTAACAACTCATGAAACAATGGCTCAAGAAGGGCTTCGAGTTTATTGATCTTTTGTCTATTATTAATGACCTTCAGCAGATCACGTTCCTGCATACATAGTTTGACAAAATTCATTCAACAAAAATCCATAATAAAAATGTAATAGAAGGAACAATTCAAAATTCACACCACTCTGTCCCATATATGTCTAGCAATATGGTCTAGGTACAGAGGTAGTAGAGATAAATTAGACGGTCCTCTTCCAAAACCCTGAGGTACTGCAGGTGCCGCCTGAGGTACCCGCTCAGGTTCATGAGATGTCTAGGGTTCCGCCTCAAGTGTTTGAGATGTCTGGGGTGTCAGCTCAAGTGTCTGAGATGTCTAGTGTGACACCTCGGGTTCCGCCTCAGTTACCTGAGGTGTCTGGGGTGTCGCCTCAGGTGTTTTCTATCACTGAGGCTGGGATGTAGGTTTTGGTTGGGCCTCAAGTGTCAGTTGTGTGACCTACGGTGCCAGATGAGAACCTAATGTCTCTCCTGCCTCAAATACCATTGATGGGGAGTGTGCCTACAAGAGGACGAAGGCGAGGAGGAATGAACTAGAGAATCTTGTCTGTTTGGGGAGGACGATGAAGTTGGAGTAGAAACAAGAACACCTAAGGATGAGGTTGTAGTAGGCGCATCCGGCACAGTCTGTCCAAAGGAAGAAGGAGCCTGAGATGCTTGACTTTTTTCCCTCTGCACATAAGCATGTTGTGCAAGCCTGTCGTGCCTCAACCTAGATGGTCTCTCAACCATTACTCCTATAGAAGTACAATGCAAACGTTAACATAAGGACTAATGTTCAAAATTAAGTGAAAATATAAACAAACTAAAATCGGAAATGCATTACCGGTTTTCATCAATGATAAATACATTTTCGGTATGACCTAAAATTTCAGAGCTTCGTCAATAGCGAAGCAGAGCTATAAATGACCTACTAAAAATGGTCACTGATCATGAAAATGAGACTTCCAACACATTTCTAATGACTCTTAATGTTGAAAACACACAAAAAAACTCACAATTTCTAACCTAAATCACAAATTTGAGTAGAAATTACATAAACTCTAAAAAGCTTAAAAACAACTTACAATTGATGACGCATCTTGATTGAATGTGGTTAAACAATTAAGTTAATTGATTCTTTACAATTTCTAACGAGTTTTTTGCAAAGTGGTTTAAATTTGTAACAATGGGGTTTGAGAGGAAATGGGTGTTTTGTGTGTTTTTTTGTGTGTCTGAAAATGCTACTTAAAGGGAGGGGAAAAGGCAGCGCACCTGTTGTACCATAAAATATCCCCTCTACATTTTAAATCTAATTGGCTTATATTTCATTTTCATATGCATACATACATTTCATTAGGATTATACTCATGGAATCGAG